TTGTTGTTAAATGTTAGAGATTTTGTAAATACATATTTTTATAGATACATTGTTTAGATTTACTTATGTATGTCTAACCCTTTATAGTATAGAAAATCCCTTTATTGTCCCACAATGGGCAAATTTACAGCAGCAGAAAGATTATTAAAAATGGTCACACAAATGAGGACCTTAGAAAAATGTATAAGAATAACATAATAGGGAAGAGTTAAAATATAAACAATACAATTCTGTAAAGTGTTTTAACAATATAAAACTCTGCACCTGGAGAATCAACAACCAATCTACAGCTATGGACATTTTTACAGCAATTAATATTTGAAAATAGCAGCAACATCAGAGATGTGCAAAATGACAGCAGCATGTTATTTAACCAAGGTTTCTATCATTACATTGGCTTTTATTTGTTCATGCTCCCTGTGGTTGGCACCTTTATTCCACTCCAGATTCTTGTGAGTGTAGTCCTTGTTCACTTTACAATAAAAAATAAAGTTTTGAAAACTTCGGTATTCATTCTTTTCCTGCTTTGTGCGTGGGAACGCGCAAACAGATTAGTAGTGCTCAGGGAAGTTTTTTAATTAAGTTCCCGAATCAACTGATCATTGAATCTGTATCACGGAGGCAATGGTGTTTATGATCAAGCAGCTGTCAATATAGAGCAACACAGTGGCATTGCCAATTTGATAATACAGTTTGGAGTGTGGTAGATAATAGGTTTTAGATAATAAATTAACTGGATTAGGTAGATAAACATTTTTTCTCCAAGACATTAGCAAAAACAAGAAGACAGTGATCCTCTAAGCAGATGTGTAATAATTTAATGAATTGATGGCTTAAAGGCTCTAAAAAAAAATCCACCCCAAATTACAGCATTACATTCTACATTACTGAAGTCTGAAGATGGTTCACTTTCAAACTGATTTAATCCCATTTTTAAAATGTAAAACAAACAAAACATTGGCTATATGAGAATATCATTTTCAGACATGCACTTCTGAACATTGTTCAAATTTAAAGTTTTACAAATTTGATCTTTCAGACAGGTCAACAAAGTCAGACACAGTAAAGGAAAATAAGGCAAAATGATGAGTTATTTAAAATCTCAAGAAGTGTGCAGAACATTAACTCCTTACAGAAACCCGATACAGTTGATAATTTAGAAGATTATATGAAAAGCAACTTTGATTTAGGAATGGACCGATATTAAAATCTGAGCCAATATTAATATAGCCTTTATGGCCAATATTCAACAACATTTAACTGAAAAAAAAAAACATCCAAATTGCTTCTTTGCTTCAGTTAAACAAAAACCTGGCCCTGCATCACAATCACCGTCACATTAGCAAATAAAACCCGATGAGCGGTCCACTCCCCTCCCCCTCCAGAAACAGTAACTACATTTCTTGTTAATAATGGCCCAGCTTTACCTATTAGACTGATCCAAAAAGGTTTTTAAATGCCCATTGATGTAAATAATATATTGTGCAAACCTAAAAAAAAAATAAGTCAATAACTGAATTTTGTTTTAAAATGTATTTCTGATACTTTAATAAAAGGCAATAAGCAGATTGTGTTTATGAGAGGATTACAGTATATTGTGTTCATTTGGACGTCCTGTTGACATGAGTTTTATTAATGTAGTCAGTGGTCTTCCTTTTTCGCGATCTGCATCAGACCATTGAAGACCATCAGACTGCTGATCTGAATCATATGTTAAGGCAGAAAACACTCAACTAAGTGGCCGGATTAACTTTACTGAAGCACGTTTGTATGTACAGGGCTACAGAAGTTAACTTTAATTAAACAAGGACAGATCAGGAAGCTGGTTCACTTCTTGAATTTTCCCAGGTGTTCTCTGGCGATAATGAGCCTTTGGATTTGAGCTGTTCCTTCATAGATCTACAATAAAAGAAAAAATATTTAGAAANTCCTGAATCAACTAATCATTGAATCTGTATCACGGAGGCAATGGTGTTTATGATCAACCAGTTGTCAATATAGAGCAACACAGTGGCATTGCCAATTTGATAATACAGTTTGGAATGTGGTAGATAAGTTTTAGCTTAAATTAACTGGAATAGGTAGATAAACATTTTTTTCTCCAATACATTAGCAGAAACAACAAAGAAGACATTGATCCTCTGAGCAGATGTGTAATAATTTAATGAATTGATGGCTTAAAGGCTCTAAAAAAAAATCCATCCCAAATTACAGCATTACATTCAACATTACTGAAGTCTGAAGATGGTTCACTTTCAAACTGATTTAATCCCATTTTTAAAATGTAAAACACACAAAACATTGACTATATGAGAATATAATTTTCAGACATGCACTTCTGAACATTGTTCAAATTTTATGTTTTACAAATTTGATCTTTCAGACAGGTCAACAAAGTCAGACACAGTAAAGGAAAAATAAGGCAAAATGATGAGTTATTTAAAATCTCAAGAAGTGTGCAGAACATTAACTCCTTACAGAAACCTGATACAGTTGATCATTTAGAAGATTATATGAAAAGCAACTTTGATTTAGGAATGCACCGATATTAAAATCTGAGCCAATATTAATATAGCCTTTATGGCCAATATTCAACAACATTTAACTGAAAAAAACAAACATTCAAATTGCTTCTTTGCTTCAGTTAAACAAAAACCTGGCCCTGCCTCACAATCACCGTCACATTACCAAATAAACCCCGATGAGCGGTCCACTCCCCTCCCCCTCCAGAAACAGTAACTACATTTCTTGTTAATATTGGCCCAGCTTTACCTATTAGACTGATCCAAAAATGTTTTTAAATGCCGCTTGATGTAAATAATATATTGTGCAAACCTAAAAAAATTTAAGTCAATAACTGAATTTTGTTTTAAAATGTATTTCTGATACTTTAATAAAAGGCAATAAGCAGATTGTGTTTATGAGAGGATTACAGCATATTGTGTTCATTTGGACGTCCTGTTGACATGAGGAGTTTTATTAATGTATTCAGTGGTCTTCCTTTTCGCGATCTGCATCAGACCATTGAAGACCATCAGACTGCTGATCTGAATCATATGTTAAGGCAGAAAACACTCAACTAAGTGGCCAGATTAACTTTACTGAAGCACGTTTGTATGTACAGGGCTACAGAAGTTAACTTTAATTAAACAAGGACAGATCAGGAAGCTGTTCACTTCTTGAATTTTCCCAGGTGTTCTCTGGCGATAATGAGCCTTTGGATTTGAGCTGTTCCTTCATAGATCTACAATAAAAGAAAAAATATTTAGAAACTCTGTATGTTTATATGTTGAGAGTAAATAAAATGTAGTTCCTTACCTGGTAGATCTTGGCGTCTCTCATCAGCTTCTCTACAGGGTAGTCGCTGTTGAAACCATTGCCTCCGAAGACTTGAACGGCATCAGTGGCCACCTGATTGGCGATGTCTCCGGCGAAGGCCTTGGCAATGGAGGCGTAATAGGTGTTCCTGCGACCTTGATCGACTTCCCAAGCGGATCTCTGGTACGCCATCCTGGCCAGCTCAACCTTCATCGCCATCTCAGCCAGGAGGAAGGACACAGCCTGATGCTGTCAAACGACAAACAGAGATATAATAATCATCTCATTCTACCATCATTATTTTCAATCTCAAACTGACAGCAGTGAAGATAAAGTTATGAAATAAAAATTCTTTTGTCATAGATGTTAAAACAAACCTCAGCGATCACTTTTCCAAAGGTCTTCCTCTCCATGGCGTAGTTTGTGGCTTCATCCAGAGCCCGCTGGGCCAGCCCTGTTGCTCCTGCTGCCACCTGTAATAAAGTCATCGGCTTAGTTACTGCAAAACCTTTTAGAAAGCAGAGTCTGAGAACCATAAAGCAGGATAGTGTTAGAAACAACAGGATGGTGAGATACTTTCCAATGACTTTATTCTGCCAAACCAGTTAATAAGAGTTGGCCGTTTGTTTTTTTATTAATAGTTGTGATCTGAGATTAACCTGTTTTTCTGTTTGAAAAATCCTCCCTTTCAGCTCAACAGTGAACTTTTTTAGCCACCAAAAAATAATCAACAAAAGTAAAGAACCATTCTTTACCAATATATTAGCAGTTATTACTTCTGAACCTCAATGTTTACAACAAAACTGCATTGCAAATGTAATCCCACACCTTTAACATTATTATGCATTACATTTAATGATGCATTGTAGTCTGAGTTTGTAATGTCACAAAATGCTTAATGATTGTTGTAAAGTATAACTCTTGACATCTATTCAGAGCTTAAAGGTGAAAGTCTATGATGGATGCATGTCTCTGGTCATCGTCGGGTTTTGTGGCAAGTTGCAAG